GTCAACTCCTATCCTCTAGACTGTAGACATCTGTAGACTGTAAAATGTATGCCTCTCGCCAACATCTGAGCATGCGACAAGAAGCAAACCGTCTGGGCGGCCCCAGTCTCAGTCCAAAGTTCAGCGTGGGTTTATTCTAAGGCTAGAGGAGGCTTGCGCATGAAACCCACCAGATGTGCTGATGCTGTCCCTCAAAGGTTCCGCATCACTGCAAACGTCCTGGATACAGTTGCACGACCCTGAATCCGCCGCGGGGAGACAAGCGCGATCAAGCTTTGAGTGCAGCGCAATGGCGACGAAGAGCCCCAAGAGGCTCACCCTTGGCACATCTACTCAACTCTTTATAGTAAAATTCCTTCTCACTTGCAGCACTGCGATGGCTACGGTCACATATGCCATAGCAGAAGTGGTTGCTGCTGCGATGACAGACTTACCATGTTCCATCTCCCGTCTTGAGGCCACATGGCCAGGAGAAGTTGCAGAATGCGGCGAGACCGGCTTGGCAATCTAATTTGCGCACAGTCACGCTCAGCCGATGAGAGCCGGGACCCCGGCCACCTAGGTGCGTCCAGGATATGGCGGCCGCCAACCTCTGCTTCCAGCACTGGCAGAAAGCTAGAACGGCACGTGCAAACATGTAGATCATAGAGTAATAGAGGTCTTATCACTGATTGTCATGGCGACCACCATGGAACCTGGCACACCCCTTTAGCCTGTCCATTTGCAAGAAGTCGGTCGAAAACTCAGAACCCGGATGATCGTCCAGTACATGCTTGCTCAAAGGTGGCAACTTGGTTGGAACCCTACACGTCACTGCTGCCAGGGAGGGTCCTTCCAGTTAGCAATTACAGCTTCGGTCGGTGCGCCGCCACCAATGCCCCGAGGCTCATGGCAACCAGCGAGAGGAGAAAGTGCTGCCTGCATTGCATGCCCTGAAGCTAGCCCTGCGACCACGAGTAAACTACCACTATCATCGCACCGGTCCTTACTTGGTGCTCATGCTGGCATTGGTACTGATGGTGAATCGAATTCCGGTATGCTGGTCTTCGCGTGTTTGCATGACTGTGACTACTCCTTTCCCCTATCATGTTACCTTATAACCAACTTCCTCATAGTCTGATCATGACTGCGTTCTGGTCTGCGTCGTCAGCATCACGGCTCCTACGACCTGCACCTTCCTCGAAAAGCTCAGGGTCGCCGGTCGCGTCCACCTATAATATCTCCCCACGCGTGGCCGAGACTGAAACCCCTCGCCCCTCCGCGCCTCTCCCTGCAACTGCAGGAACGACGCATACACTTCGCTGAACTTCAACATGTATAAACCGAAGCAGCAACATCTGAACACAGAGGTACAGTACGAATGATAACCATAGAAATTGTCATGCAGGCGCGCCAGGCCTCCTCACAGCTCCGCAGACCTCCGGACAAGGAAGCATTCCACTGCTACTGGTGTCATTTGTATGTCGAAAACGGCCTAGTTTTGCTGGACACGATTTGCTAAACACGCGTACACGCCGTAATGGCTTCTTGTGAATATACACCGCATAACGGCTACAGTAAGGCAGTGCAGCGAGCCCCTTCGGTGCAATCGAGCTTAACGTCTCTCCACATCCTGTGCCTTAATTGCTACGTCCAAGCCACGGTAGAGTGCACGGATCTTAGCATGGACGTTCTCATGGACCAAACTGCCCACCGTCACTTACGAGACTTTGCAGGCAAGCAACGATCAACATGGCTTTGCACAGGAAGATTTGGCATGCAAAGGAGAAGAGCTAGGAGCAACAACCTTCAACTGTCAACTTCGCTGTGTTTCGGGAGACCAAGCTTTGGGGAAGTCAAGGCAATAGCTTCAGTGCTTGAGATGATCTCTGCAGCTCTGACTATGCTCCGACTGCAACGGAAGCTAGGTTGCCGAAACAGAAGAAGAAGCTCTGTTGTTCTAGCGTGTGATTCTATCTTCGCAGTCTGCGGAAGGAGCCGGGCAGCGCACGACAGGACATGAGACAACTCCAGAATGCTCGCATGCTCACATGTTCTGAGCCGGGTCTCCTGCAAGCTCTGGCATTTCGACCTGCCTATTGATCGAGGGGAAATAGAGTGTGCCTGGAACCTGAAAATTACTCAGAAGATCGTGCCAGTCTGACCAGGTCGTGGCGGGCATGCCTAAGACCAACAGGTACACGAGACAAGGCTAAGATTTCTGCAATATACAAGTTTGTCTCTTCTTACGCCTTGCATGTCAACATGAGCGGCTTCGTAGAATTGCCGCACGAGTTGTTGAGTGGGTCACAGATTTGGACTTCAAACCATGTGATAGAGAACGACGCGCTGCCTGTAAAGTGTGTCAGTCTCTAGTGCAGCAACCGTGCTATTCCCACAAATCAACCCAACTGGTTTGCTTCTCTCTGGGAGTCTTCGAGGATGACCTCATAAAACCTTACAGCTCGCGTCACTTCACCAAAACTCGCAGCTCAAACCACATGCTCCTTAAAGAGACCCGCGGCCTTGCCTGGCTTGCCTTGAGGATTACCCATAAGCAGCCAGGCTACCACCAAAACTTGTTGCACGAGATCACCTTTGGTGACTGTGCAAAATAACGGAACAGAAAAGCTGCCACGAGCGCCGTGGCACAACGTCAATGTCCACCTCGCCAGCCCAAAGTAAATTAACGGTCACATCCCAAGGCACAAAATCAAAGCGAAGCCAAAGCTAGAAGCGCAAAACAGCCAGCCCGCAAGTTGATGGATCTCTCACAAACCGTGTCAGGTGTCATGTCTTCTACAGCTCGGGTCGGAGTAGGCATGTGAGCGGCTCACTGCGCCTGGCGGACGAGCCCTCTCCTTGGCACGAGCCTGAGAGAACGTCGTCGCGGGTGATCTATACCGCGGTGGCTTCGAGGCTGCTTGCTGGGGCTGTCTGCAACGGAACTACATCTTGTGCGGTCGGATTACTTCGGCGCTGCTGTTCAACGTAGCGGTTGCACAGCACCGCTTGTACTAGCTGATCACCTTCTGCCTCAACTGACGATAGGCTATGACTATGACAGGCAGCATACACTTGCTCAGCACAAGTGTGTGCATCATACCGCATACTTCATTACACGCCACCCCTGCACTGGCTGTTCTATGTCTCGTCTCGGCACCCTCCGAAGGGATACTTGATCTTGGTCGCTGACTCGGCTTGGCCTTATCTCTGCGGCCGCTGGAGGAGCCTCCTGAAGAGCTCAGCCAGGTGGAGAAGCAGAAGCTGTTCAGTTCATTTCAGTTCATTGGCTTTCCGCGCCACAATGCCATGCTGCTTGGCACGCTCAGGAAAGCTACGTCTCGCCTTCTGCTGACCAAGATCATGGCTGTCTTCAGCAATGCATAGGCGATATCCGTAAATTGACTCAATGGCTGCAATGCTACAACATGTCCATGGCATCCACATCAAAGCGGCGCGTGCTGTAGGACGACTAAACTTCCCGCAAGAACCACACGTTATGTTCCGTCATTTAGCATGTTGCAACCGAGGTCCGCTGGGTCGAAAGGTCTCCTGAACATGGCCCTGAACATGATCTTGGAAAAAGACTCCTAACTTTACAGCTGTTGATTCAGGTCCCGAAACTCCCAAGATCACAGTCTGAACCCTGAAACTTGCAGGCAACCCCCCCTCTCCCACCCCCTGCCCCGCAGTGAAGAGACCTTGAGGCGCCAAGTCTTGGTAGTGTCGTCCAAACCTGATTTCTGTACATCACGGGTTCAGCTCAATGCTCAGAACCCAGATGCTGTGGAGCTTGCAGTTGCAGAAGTATTCGAAGGTCCAGCTTTCAAGTCTTGGACATGCGGGTTCGGATTGAAGATTTTGCCCTGTAGGGACATCCGTTCAAGGTAGCAAGATGCGCAGGCTTGCAGGCATGCTTCCTATGTGTATTGGAATGTAAGGTCCCTGGAAGAGAAATCTATCAAGGCCACCTTCGTTCTAGCTCGGAGATGTCAGTGGGTCGAAGCTGCTCGGAGCTTCAAGCTGTGGGCTGCAGGATAGTGTGGCACTGAGCAACTGGGAAGGTCAATGGAAAAGCAATCATGCCTGGCGGTCGTATCTGCTTCCGTGAAGGAGCTCAGCACCAACAGCAGCTAACAATCAAGAAAACAACCCAATTCATCTCCGCAGTAGGCATACCAGCCTGGAGCTTTCAACCCGGTCTGTGCCCACCCAACTTCTCCACGACAGAATTAGTAGAGAGCTAGGCCAGGCCTTCCGAGTCATGCCCTGAAGAGGAGGCGTCTTACAAAAGCTGATCAAGAGTTAGCAGTTTCCGGCCTTGGGCCTTGGGCCTTGGCCTCTGGCCACTCCAGGAGACATGCCCTTACTTGCAGCTCAGAGCGCGCGCGGGCTGGCCCAGCACAGTAGATCCAGTCACGGAGGTCTCCGACGCGCGAAAACCATGGGGGCACATCCTTGGCTGGAAGCTGAGTTTAAAATCTTCGAGCAATGTCAGCAATTTTCAAGCCGTCCAATTCCGCTGCAATCACACCAGACGTTCGAGCCAGTGAGCAATTAATTCTGGCAACAACATGGCGTCGCAACAAAACATTCCCAAATCGAATCTGCTTTCGTCTGGTCAGCTGAAGCTTTGCTTGGCCTGTGCTGGCACCACTGTGCGGGAGTCACTGGCAGAGAACGGGTGTTCCCAAGAGCAGGATCTACATGGCTGTGGAAGTGCAAAATCCTCCAAGAGTCAGCTCGCAGAACTCTGCCATGTCGATCTCGCCGTTGCCATCGGCGTCAGCCACGTCTGTGCATTGCAGGATTGGACAAAAGAAAGTGCGTGATCCTAGGCTTGGACCTATCTGAGGTACGACCTGGCAGAAATGCTGTGGGCAGTGGTCACATGATCGTCCAGCTCCAACAGGACAAGAAAAGAAAAGCCGAAAGATGCGCTGCAGCTCTGCAGGCATTCCACCGCAGGTCTGCCTACGACAGACACTACACCCCGAGACCAAGGTTTGTCAAGGAGCTGATGAACTCCTTGGCATAGTCTTTGTCCTGAGCAGCAGGTCGGCACTTGCCACCGAGAGCTGCGAAGGTGATCTTTGGGGCTGCCCAACAAACTCCCAAAAGGTTCCGCAAGCGAAAAACAAAACCTGAAATGCATCGAAGTCACTATGAGGCCAGACAGAACAAGCTCATTCGCAGATACGCTTCCTCCTCGGTCTTTGTCGAAGTAGTTGAACACTGCCTGATCGAAACAGCATGCCGCAAATTGTCAAGCATGCAAAGGCCAGGACATGCCACGACGTAATGCACCACGCTGTTGCCACGACATCTCTGCAACTTGCATGAATCTGTGCGCCTTATGCCCTTCCGAGAGTCACGAGTGCTTTAAAAATATGCAGGGTATTGCTGGGACCACGTAAGTGATGAAAGCGACGCTTGTCCAAAGAACCTGCTAGTTAGCAACCGTTTGAGGTGCAGGTGGCGTTGGCGACGCGGGCGGCGATGATGGTGACAGCAGTAGCAGCAGCAGCAGCTGCACGAGCACTACCACTACCACTACCACCACCACCACCACCACTACCACCACCATTACTACCACCACCACCACCACGACGACTACTACTACTGCTACTGCTACTGCTGCTGCTACTTTTACTGCTACTACTACTACTGCTGCTACTGCTACTGCTACTGCTACTGCTACTGCTACTGCTACTGCTACTGCTGCTGCACGACTACTACTACTACTACTACTACTACTACTACTACTACCACTACCACTACAACTACAACTACAACTACAACTACTACTACTACTACTACTACTACTGCTACTGCTACTGCTACTACTACTACTACTACTACTACTACTACTACAGACACAAGTGGCATCACAACATGTCAAAACCAGCCATTCCCCATCCAGACGCTCAATTCCACTAGCACTCGTTCGAGACACACATACGTGGCATCATTGCGTTTTTCCGGAATCCCCTCTTGCATGCTAGATCGATGCCATCCAGCCATCCCCTCGTACTAAAGTTGGGGGTACCTAAACCCCTCTTAAACGCCAAGAGTAACGCCTTCTTATTTTGTTATTCCCCCTTGACTGCTGGCAAGGCCTGGTAACGACTTTCACCTTTCACAGTAGCACGAGTTTTGGTGACACAGACAGGCACAAGAAAAAGTTAACGTACATGCATGTTGCACAACCATCTCAGTTTTCAGTCGGCAGTTCGCTGCGGCCTGCAGGGCAGCTCTCTCTTCGGAGGGCAGAACTGGCGGGGGGCTCACCCGCCACTTGTCGCCTCGGTAGAACGCGGTTGCTGCAGGGACTGTCTCTACTTTGATTGCGACTCAAGCTATGACAGCTGCAGCTCGTCGGAATTTGAACGTTGTCAGCTGTAGTGCGGACTTTCGACATCTTTCGACACAACAAAGGTGAGCCGGGGAAATCAATCAATAATCCACTCTCGCCCACGGGACATGCCATTGGCTACTAGCTTCCGTGGCTTTCACATTTGCTGATGCTGATTGGTTACATGATCTTACATGGCACTGGCTGCTGACTTCTCCTGTGGTCCCATACCTGCAGCCCGCTAAACCCCGCTTAACTTGGCCGATTAAAGTCCAAAACTGAAGCACAACATGCCCAGCAACGTGTGCGGTTGATCTCGTCGCACCAGGTCCTCATTTGTCTTAGATCCTCCTCTGAAGAGCAAGACCAGATCAACCGCATGATGTCCTGCGAAAGCACAGCTGATGTCCAGCTTCGGGGCTTCACAGAAGCGTAGGTCTGCTGATATACATGGCCCATTTGTAGCAGCTTCAGCCAAATCCGTGCAATGCAGCATGGGCTGTAATTAAATCAAGCGAAACAGCGAATCGTCCACTTCTGGCCACCCATCCTCGATGCAGAAACTTTGCTTGCGGGCATTCGTCAGTACCTGGAGCCATAGGGGGAAGTCTCTCGTAACAAACAGGGGCGAGGCACTTCCAGTGTGCCCTGGACCCACGCAGGGCCCGTGTCGCATCTCATCCCAGAGGTATGCAGAGTTCACTCCGACAGCTATTCGAAATTTACAGTTTGTTCTTGAAAATTAGTTTTCTTTGTCGCTTCTTTTCCGCCCTGCTAGAGTTGGAAAACCACTAAGTCACTATAGGGGGCGGGCCCGATTGGAAGACTCCGGCTGAAAGTTCAAAAAGCTACGGGAGCCTTCTACTACGAGCCTCAAGCCTCGTCCTAGGCGAACCCCAGCTTAAAACTTCAGGATTCTGTGTCGGACTGCGGTAGATAAGCCATAGCGGCCATAGCGCATCTATGTCTCTACGTCGGACGACTCCACCCGTCTTCTCCCTTCTGCAGCGCACGGAGGCGAGGCGGTCGCAGAAGCGTTGCACAAACCGAGGACGCTCCTGGCAAGGATCGGTAGAAACATTGCTGCCTGACGGTCTGGCATGACGCAGGGCTTTCGCATTGCTTGGATGCTGAGTTTCCGCAGATATACCTTCGACAGGATCAGGCACACATCTGGCAGTTTCAAACATCATGGCCCGAACCTTTTGACAAGATCTTGGTGTTGACAGGATCTTGGACCCATATGACCCGCACAAGGCTCCTCCTGTGGAGTGTTGGCGATCCAAGCAGGGAGCCTGCTTGCGCCGCCTCACAGCAAGTAGAAATGAGATGCAGTTGCAGCTCTGCTTGGGACCCGGACTGCTGGCATCCCCGTGACACGAAAACGGCCATGATAGCAAGCAGTCTCTGCTTAGCATACCAGAGGATTCCGGTACAGCCTTGTCTCCTAAGCTCCTCATGCAAGATCCACCCTTTCGGGATGCGGTTGTGCTTTGTCGATCATCTGAGCTTTCCGTTGAAGCTGGCATACTGGGATGCTCGGCTGGAGTATGGGCCACAGGTTCTGTGTCATGTCCTTCCTTCCAGGAACATGCAACTAATCTGCTTCTGTAAGGGTCCAACGAAGGCCATATCTTGGACCATGACTACTCACTGTTGCAGGACCACCTCGTGGTCTGTGTCCCTTTCGAGGCGTTTTTTTGTGGAATGGAGGCCATAAACGTACAATGCATATGTACGCATATGTAAGCACGCTTGCCAATGCTTGCACCTGCGTGCGTATGTACGTACGCAGGCAGGGAAGGAGGGAGGTAGGTAGCTGGCTAGCTAGCTAGCTAGCTAGCTAGGTAAGTAGGTAGGCAGGTAGGTAGGTAGGCAGGTAGGTAGGTAGGTAGGTAGGTAGGTAGGCAGGCAGGTAGGCAGGTAGGTGGGTAGGTAGGTAGGTAGGTAGGTAGGTAGGTAAGTAAGTAAGTCAAGGTAGGCCGGCAGGCATGTATGCATGCGTGTGTGTGTGTGTACGATGTACATACGTGAGCAAGTAGAGAAGCAAGCATGCATGCATGTATGCAGGTAGGTATGAAGGTATGCAGGTATGCGCCATGTATGTATGTGTGCATGTACACACGTCACCATTTACGCAAACACCCAACATGCCTACACAAATACTTCAAACACAAAATGACACAACATACACTTCTAAAAATGTAAAGCCCGTGTCTGCTCAGCCCGGCGCTCACGTTGTCGAAGCTCTTGCCGCTCAAGGTGTTGCCACCCGCAGCCCTTGGCCAAGAGCTCTGAAATGGCATCCAGGGTTTTGTTTAACGATAAGGAAGAAACAGAAAATGGAAGATAGAGGTCACTGGCTTTCAATGTCAGACTGGATGTTTTAGATTCGGGCTGCGGGCAGTCGGTGCGCAATTCTGTGCTGGGTCTTGTGAGGCTCCCTGCCAACCCTTTTCCCGTTCTCGACAGATTCACCCCTTTCCTCACCGCTGCAGACTGTGCCCAACATTCCCTTGCAGCCTTACAGGATGTTAAATGACGGGCTGAATTTCGGAAAGGATGACCAAAGTGTTTGAGCCCAAATTGCACTCTGACCCCAACCTCAAAAAGGCCTCCTTCAGTTATCGGCTGCACGGCGTTCACATGCGCCCGGGCAGTACTCGTCATGCACTCGCGGTGTCAAAACACTGAGCGAGGCAGCCATCCCAACACCGGGGGAGAGCATGCTCACGATCGCTTTCTGAACCTGCGGATGCCCTCCGCCACGAAAGGTCGAAAGGGCCCGAAATCCCTTTCTATTCCTCACACAATGCCAAGAATCCAGGCACCAGCGGCCACCACATCGATCATCAGGCCTGGGCTTAGGACTCTCAACGGTCAACCTCCGCTCCGAGCCTGCGAGGCATGTAGGATAGAGGAGAGTCAGGTCGTAGTCAGCAGAGGTTAGAGGCTCAAAATGCACCCCAAGCCTGGAAGTGTTCAAAACAGTGCCCCGATAGTACCATTTTATACCGTTTTGCTGTTGTCCCCAGTGTTGAACCTTAAATCCCTGGGCCCCAAACCTTGAGCCCCGAAGACCTGCACCCCAACTGTGGTTGGATTTCTGGTTGGTGGTTGGGGGATGGTCCGTGCATCCGACTGTGTGGAGCCTTGCTGCCGCAAACCCCAAACTTCTTTAACCCTAGGCTCTGAACCTGGAGGGAAGACCTGGTACTGGTCGATACGAGTACAACTAGAATCCGGTTTCACGCTGTCCAATAAATTCTTGAGACACCTTAAACCGCCTTAAACCCTTAGCCCTTAACCTTAATCCCGAAGGCCTGAAGTTCTGAAGCCTAGACCGGCCCTTCCTTTGCCAAGCAACGATCTCCGAGGCTTCGCACCTCTGCCAGGTCCACACGTCCAGAACAATCCACGTCCTGTAAGGCGCAGGTGGAAACACCACAGGATGCAAATTCAAAGCTCGCCACCTCTCTGTCATCCATCTCTCCCGCGCTCTGTCTTCCTGGTTTAACAGATGGTTGCCGTCCCTCCCCCGCTCAAGTGCACACCCCATTTTGGAGTGGACCGAGAGGCAGAGGGATGCACACAGCTTACTGGCAATGTACATGATCATGCAGTCATGCTAACCTGGGGCCCTTGCCTCCCGCAGAGGCTCTACGTGTCCTGCCCCCTTGACAAACAACGAATTTCGCAAAAATTGGTTGGGGCTCGAACGCCCGTCTCTCTCTCTCTCTCTCTCTCCTTCTTCCGTCAGGCAGAGACTCTTTCTCTCGCTCTGCTTCCATGCGCTTAAGGATAGGGGAGGAGGCACCCTTCTGTCTCTGTCGTTTGTCTGTGTCATCGCAGCATCAGAACAACAGCACAAACAATCTCACAGAACCGTCGCTGTCTGGATCATTACCAACCACGACGGTCATGGTGATGAGCACCGATTCTGCAGCTTGTGTTTTCAAACGAGCCAGAAAGCCCAGGATTCAGCACTCTTCCCGCACATTGTTTTTCGTTTCCAGAACCTCGACCTTGACATCTATCTGAAAATACAGTTTTTATGTTGTGCAAGAAGACAGTTGCTAAGCACTGTGCTTTTGGTTACAGTTCTCCGACTTTTCTTCTGATATATAAATACCTGTGGTCCCTTTGGTAATTTAGTCTCTAGTCCAAAAAAACCACTGCATAGCCATAGTTCTGGTTTCTCCAATCGTGCTGCACTGTCAGGTCTGCAACGTCGAGGCCGTGGCTTCGCCCTTTCTTTTCAGCAGCCAGGCTACAATCTTGTCCCAAGCACGTAGGAGCTTGTGCATATCATCTTTCGTGCCTGAGCACCGATGTCCAGCGGAGTTCATAGCATGCACAAACACCATGGGTTCTCCGCGGGTTCAAGCCTGTGGGCACAAGTTGGTTCGTGTAAAGGCTGGTCGCAAGCTGTCAACATCGCGATACATCGAAGCAAGCACCATATCTCACGTCTCTTGCCGCGGTTCGGGATTGAACAAATGGCTGCCAAAACAAGCATTTACGCAGCTGAGCTCAGAGCCGCAGCTTTCAAAAAACCTGGGCGCAGAGCACCGCCAAGCAACACCATGCAAACAACTCCCAGCACTCACAGCAAGAACAAAGCATCCAGACGCTTGGCTAATGACTCACCCTTCCATAGCCAGGTATACAGGAAGTACATGGGGTGGTTCCAGTTAGGCTTCGCATTGCACTCGACCGGGATCTACTGTCCTTCAGAGGGGTTCTGGGGGAAGCTTGGGAAGGGCAATGATGCTTTACTTGCACATTCGCCTCAATGCCGCACCCAACATCTCAGCAAGTTCAGCTTCGGCTTAGCCGGCTTCGCCAGCATTCGCCCCAAGCTTGCACCCGCAGCGAAGGGTGCAACCAATCTAGATCGGTGGCTTTGGATTGTAGCCAAGTGGCACATTCTCGCGGTCTTTCTTGTTGCGGCAATTCCTCTGTTTCACTCTGTGTGGAAACTGCTGAAAGGACATTTGCCGTCCTTGACATGAGGCGACCAACTGTCACTCGAAGGAGCTCGATGCTCGGCCTTGTGGTTCCCTGCACTCTGTTAACTACGACAGGCGCCTTAACAACTAGAATAAGGCATAAGGGTTTGGTAGTGGTTTGGTGCATGGTAGACTGTACGTGCTAATCAGGACTCTATAAGAATACTACAAGGGAATAGTATTGCTAAGTATTTCGACTGTTATAGTACACGGTCGCCAGCTTCTCAGCCAAGGATCTCATTTCCGACCGAGCCGAGCACAAACCTCAGCTTGAATTTCGCCGAGAGCCCAAGCTGGGCTCGATTGGCAGCCGTGCTGTGATTTTCGGCTTCCCCAGCTGCGAATGTCTACGAATGTTCGGCGCATAAGAAAAGCAAGCTGAAACAACGAACTTGCCCGGCACAGAGCTGGCGGCCTGCAGCTACGCAGAAACTGGTATGCAGGCTTCCTGCCCCGAGATGCAACGACCTGCGTTAGATTCCTTCTGCTGCTTGCAGTCAACCAATCAAGCCTAGCAGTTTGCAATCAATCTCTTGCCATTCGCGCGAAGCCTGCATCAGCCAGTTTGCCAGGCCATGCCAAGCCCAACATCACCCCGGTCTCAGGTTAGATGCGGAGGTCATCGTCACAGAGCATGGGCCATGTAGCATTGGAGCCTGAACTGATAGGGCCTGAGCCGGCAGAATCCTTAGCTTCGAGCAAAAGGCTTCAACATTGGAAATCCACCTCACGGTCCAAAACATTCAACGATAGCACCGCCATTGCCAATGCGTGCCCGAGCCACTGCGGGCCAGCTCCCCCAGTTCGCTGCAGATGATAGCCTTTACAACATCAACTTGCCGGGCCTGAATAGAGGGTTAACGTATTTCAAACAGGTTCTGAAGAACGAGTGAAGCGGCGAACAAAGACTGGTGAACCAGTCCGCGGAGTTGCGGCTGCAACGACTGCCGCAGGCGGCGTCGGCGAGCGAACTGCGCAACTCGGGCCCTGTCGCCTGCTATCGAGAGAAAGTCTGCGTTGTGGTGGGTGCAGGTATGCTTCAGTAATCTTTTGAAGGCATGCGCGTCTCAGCCGTTTCGTACTACTTGGAACGTCGGCACGAGTACATCTGCGACTGGGGAATACTCGGGATGACAGGAAGAAACAGTAACCTATGAAAAGCATGAAACTTTTGTCTCTCAGACTTGAAGAACTACTACTACTACTACTACTACTACTACTACTACTACTACTACAAGCTTCACGGAACCATCGTGCAGCCGTCTCTAAGAGAGCTCTGTCACCCTTTTGTCTGTGTTTTTCTGGACGATTGAGGTTTGCTGGTCAAGTGCCAGCAGGCAGAACTAGCCACTGGGGAGCCCAACCTCTTGAACCGAAGCATCGGGTCGTTCGATGATTAAACCCAGTTGAGCTACATCAACCGGCCAGCGTCAGCGTGCGGACGCATAGAGTTCTATGCCCGTGGCTCTCTTGTAATATTTCGTTGACATTGCCGACTGGAACCTTTGGATCAATGCTCAAGTACTTGGTGTCTCACGCTTTCCAGCTGCGGCAAGTCAACAACGAAGATTCTTTCAAGAGCGCCTGCAAGTTCCAAACACCAATCCTCAAAGTTTTCCAAATTTGGGCACAACTCACATGCAAACAGGCTGCACGCAGTACTGCGGGCTGTTTGGTGCCACCTGCAGCAAGTCTTCCGTGATGCTGTGTTGCTCGGCTAGTGCCTGAACATGGCTGAACCTAGCAAGAAGAGATCTTACCAGCGCTTACACACTGCGCACCAAACACACCCACCAGTCTCACTGACCGGACATGCTAAGCCCGTGGCATCCAGGAGCAAACCACTTCTGACAAATTTTCAGCAGCAGGGCACGTGGGTACTCGGAGACTTCTCCTACCCTGTCTTCCAGCCCATAGCGACCGTGGCACTGCAACCAGGCCCGGCGAGCGCCCGCGGGCCACAATGGTAGCATCAGGCCCGCGCGTGCCTGCAGGGACTGTGATGGACTGCGTACCGCAAGGTTCGGGTTCAGTACCGGACATCCGGCGTGCACCTACTTCAGATACCAGGATGGACAGCTCCGGTAAGAGAGAAAGACTCGAAAGCCAATAAAGCTTAATTTTTTTTGAGACTATACATTGGGTTCTGGTCATCCTCCTACCGTCCTACAGTGCAGGTGAGTACAGTTGTGGGCGCTGCCCTTCTGACCGAAACATATATTCGTGTCACTGAGAAACCGCTTGTATGGCCATCAGTCTAGATGAGCCATGGCATTCCAGCAAGCTAGACGGCCTTGCACAGAGGCTGCAGGCGGCATGGCTCCGGCGTATCTCGGCGTGAGCAGAACTCCCTCACCACTGGCCTCGGGAGGAGACTAACTGCAAAACCTCAACTTGAGGGACCTGCGGCTGCATCTCTGCTGAAGGAGGAAGGGCTCCGCTTACGAAAGGAATCTAAAGGACAGCAGAAACTCTTGCCGCACAGGAGCAGCAATGTTGCATGGGGACGTCGAAACCTTCCCGTGGCTGCAACTTGAGCTCTCTTACAAGGGCATCGCGACTGATAGATCCCCTCTAGCGTCTCATTGCAGCCCTCTCGTTACTCGCTAGGCCTGCTAGGCTACTAGATACAGTAGAGCCAGTGTGGCCACATCAGATCCCGCTGTGCCTTCGCCATACGTGCAGGATAACACGGCGATGGCGTCCTCCCCGAAGCACGACCTCTGCCAACCATTGCGGGAGCACTGCCCCTCGTCACCTGGAATGCAATGAAGCTCGCGGTCACTTCAAGAGAACGGTGCAGGCCTGAAGACTCTGACGAGGTGCCGGAAGGACATAGCTGGAACTCTGTGCCAAAGTCGGGGATGTGCCTCTAGGTGTTATGCATGCCTGCGACACAGGAGACGGCGATCTGACCAGATAAACCTGACGAGGAGGACTTTGAGAACAAAGGCGTGGAGCCAGGGGCTGTGCCGCCTGTGGCACCTGCTGTGGCGCCAGAACAACACGCCGTGCAGGCACCGGGGATCGCCCACGCCGCTCGATCGGCTCGAGAGCCCTCGCTTGCCCCGGCGGGTATGCAGCAGACCCGCTCCGAACGCCCAGTATGTGGCCAAGGGCCGGCGGTGGGGCAGGACAGTGCATGGAGCCGCTCCACGCCGATCCCGGAGTTGGACACAGCATGGATCCGGGGAGGCTTGCTTGCGCCATGGCTGGTCCGAGCAGCGACTGGCCATGCATGCGCGGCTCGAAGCTTGAGTGTCGTCCGCGAGCTCGACACGCCGAATCTGCACCTGCCGAGGTGCTTCGAGCCGACCGCCGTGGACTCACATAAGTCCATCTCGGTGGAGGCACTGGAGATGGCAGCCGCGGTGAAGCTGTTGAAACCGTTGAAACCTGCTGCCACTGACGAGGCGGCGGTGAGTAGGCAAGATGTCTTCGCGGCTGCGGAACCACCTGCTCTGGCAAATAACCTTAGCAGCAACTTCAAGTGCACCCTCTCTGCTTTTGCATGACCCTTGCTCAGCCGTGCTAGGCAAGATGCTGCTGCCGTGGCCTGGAGGCTGTGCAACTTGCCATCCAGAAAACGTTGGAGCGCCAGCTGGTTGCGTTACAACCCCTGGTGGTGAGAAAGAGACGCAGCCCTGTGGGTACATCCTGCTCGGCTGTGGCCCAAGGCTGTAAGTATGCCTGACAGACATTCCACGAACCACTGTGACATGTTATGAATTGCGAAAAGCCATTGCGGACAAAGTTGGCGAACGCGCTTGCGAGGGCCTCTGGCACCTCATGGCTGCTTGGGCGGCTTGGGCTGCATGTGCTGTAGCTGCACCTTCTCCACCAGATACCTGGAAAACACAACGATCGAACGGGACCACCAAAAGCGCAGTGGCTCTTGTGGCTGGACACGATAGGCACGACACTCAGAGTTGAAGTTCTGTGACATGAGTACGACTCTATCTGAGGATGTGCGGATGTCAATACCATGCGAATCCCTCTGTGGCCAGCCTGCTGCACGCTGCAAGCATTACTGGATGAAAAGCACATGTGCAGAATAGACGTCGTCCTGTGAAGTTGGTGCAAGTTCGAAACTCACCTAGTTGTCACACCAGATTGAACATTAATGCTGCAATGTAGCCCGTGGCAGTGGCAACGGGGGAGGTGGAGGCAAGGATGGCACCGCAATCGGCTCCAGAAGCACCTTGTAAGTACTCAAGCCTCGAAGTGCCTCGTGGCCTAGGTTGTCACTCTGATTCAGGATGATTCAAGTCTTCGCACCGCCGCTGTCATGCTTGTTTCCCTACTTGCGCGTTACAAGTGCGACAGCTGCCCTTGTGCCAATGATTCGTTTTGTTGTCGTTGATAAGTGTGAGACTACGACTAGCAAACAGCCGAGGTCGTGGTAGCCGCGGTATTAGTTGTAGTAGCCGTCGTCGTCGTCGTAGCAGTAGCAGCAGCAGCAGCAGCAGCAGCAGCAGCAGCAGCAGCAGCAGTCGTAGTAGTAGTAGTAGTAGTAGTAGTAGTAGTAGCAGCAGCAGTAGTTTTGTAGTAGTAGTCGTCGTCGTCGTCATCGTCGTCGTCGTAGTAGTAGTAGTAGTAGTAGTAGCAGCAGCAGGCGTCGCTGCTTGTGCAGCGGCTCTTGATGATACCCTCATGATGGTGATGATGCTGTTGGTTGTTGTTGTGGAGGCATGTCGT